GCGTCGGCGCCGGCGGCGCGCCACGGCCAAATACCGGACAGCCCACGCCACGCGGGAGCGCATCCGCGTCGAAGCCTTCAACATGGCCTTCGCCGAGCTGCGGAAGCTGCTGCCCACCCTGCCGCCGGACAAGAAGCTCTCCAAGATTGAGATCCTCCGCCTGGCCATCTGCTACATCTCCTACCTGAACCACGTGCTGGACGTCTGAGCCGCCCAGCCTGCGTCTGTCTGTCTGTCTGCCACATCTCTTACCTGAACATGTGCTGGGCATCTGAGCCAAGAGCTCAAGTCCGTCTGTCCATCTATGACCTGAACCACATGTTGGGCATCCAAAATGCTGTGCCTGTGTTCATCCGTCTGTTCAAATGGACCAAGTCCCCAGCTCTCTGCTCTACCCCCTGTCTGAACTATCTTCTGTATTTCCCCACCACCAAGCCCACGTCCGTCTGTCTTTCCCTCCTGTCTGAGTCAGGCTGGATGTTTGGTCCATCAGCCATCTGTCTGTCCTGCTGGATCTGCTGCCTGAAGCCTGTGCTGGCCGTGTATGCTCCCAACTTCTGTCCGTCCTTCTGCTGCGCATCCCGCTGATACTGCCTACGGGACCCGTCAGTCTGTCTGCCACGTCCGCTCCCTGACCCGCAGCAGGAGCCACTGAGCCCAAGTCTGTCTGTCTGTCACCTCTTTCATGGGAGCCACAAAAAAAATGGACCTGTGAAACACTGCAGCACCAAGCAGCCCCGGGGTCTTGTCCGTCTGTCTGTCTGCGCCTTCTGCCACCGGCCGCCCCACCAGCACGGCCAGTCTGGGCATTTTGTCTGTTTGCTGCTGCTCTGCCCCTGGCATCGTGCTGGGCACTTAAAGGCCCACGTCAGGACCGTCCTCTCCGCGGAGGGAGCACAGCCCAGGAGCATCCTTGGGCACGGAGCGGCTCCTCTGTGTTTGCCCTGGCTTTCCACACCCCAAAAGGAAGCACAAAGTGTGCTGCAGACCTGGCAGGACCTGGCCACGCTTTCCATGGACGACAGCGGCAGGGTCCCCTCGAGACGGAGGCGAGAGGGCTGCTCCGTGCTGCCTGCAAGGTGCCCGGAGCAGCGCTGGCCCTGCTCCCATGCCAGGCTGGAGCAGCACCCAGCGGCTCTCAAAGCCCCTCCGTTGCACATCTGGTCTCCCCGAAGCTCAGCACTCTGCTCCCCAGACCCGTGCATCCCAGGCTTTGCTGCCCGACCCTCCTTTGCACTAGTGCACGACGAGCGTGAAGCCCCCCTGGTCTGGCCCGTTGCACCGACAGACGTGACGACCCCGGGGCACCAGACCTTCATCCCTCCCGACTCTTCCTCTGTCTCCCCTTCAGTGCTCCTGGTGAAAAAGGCCTGGGGTCACAAGCGTGGCACATGCCCCGGCACGGGGGGACGTCAGCGCTCAGCTCCCCCAGCGCCGCGGCCCTCCTCTGCAGCGCAGCTGGTGCTGCCGGGGCTCACGTGCAAAGAGGCTTCGCCCCGGGGTGCCGCGGGCCCCCCCGTTTACACCAGTATGGCACTGGTGCAGCGTGACCTTTCACAGCACGCGCTCTGCGGGGGTAAACTGCACTTTACCTGCGGCTTGCCGGGCAGCGGGGTTGGAGAGGGGAGGAAACAGGCACGGCCCCTTTGCCCAGCTTCCAGCAGCTGGGGGTCTCCCTGGCCCCCCCTAACACGGATCAGCACTTTGGGAGAGGGAGGGGAGCGGGAAGGGAAAGCAGAGCCGAGCAGCCTTTTCACCAGCAAGGGCACGCTGAGGCTGGGGAAAGCTCGTTGCGAGAGTGAATGTTTTGCCTTGTTTTATGGGTGTGCGTTTGTTTTAAGAGTTAATTTTGCACTGGCAGTGGCAAGAGCACAAGCAGAGCCCGGGCTGGGGACCAGGACGGCGCAGAAACCACTGACTGTGCTTAGAGCCAACGCTCCGGGCTGGGAGCAGAGGCACAGCCTGGCCCACGGGGAACGGGTTGGAGCTGCTCCTCGCCGAGCCTCGCCGCGAGACAGGCAGTGGTCCGGCCCGTGGGGTAGGTGCTGGGGGAGATGGACTTCGGTGTGCCAGAGATGAAACGTTCGTGGGGAGAGGGTCAGTGCCATGTCCAGCAAACCCCCAGAGCCGGAGCAGGGGGTCCCAGCAGCACCTGCCCTGCTCTGCCCTCCAGGGTCCCACCCTCCGCTCCCCCCCCCCCCGAGGTGCTGGCCACTGCCCGTGCCGGGTGTCCGAGCCCTGCGAGCTGGGCTTCCCGGGACCTCGCAGACCTCCTGGCTCCATCCCACCCCTGTCTTTGCCACCAGCTCCCAGCGACGCCTCGCTCAGTACCTCATTTTCCCCCTCCCCGTGAAAGCGGGGAGAACGATCGCTACCTCTGTCTCGCAAGGACTCACCAGTGAATGTGGGATCCCCGAGGGCCGGAGCAGCGGACCCCGCAGCCGGCTCCCCCGTCACCGCACCGCTCAGCGGGGCAGCGGCAGAACAAGACAGAGCAGGGCAGCCCCCCCTTCCCCTCCACTCACCAGCCACGTCTCTGTGCCACGAGGATATTTATTGAATTAATTTATTGATAAATGTTATTATTTATTTGCTGTGTTGTGCACTTTTGGGAAAGGAAAACTAGAAAACAAACAAAAAACTAATGACCACGGCGGAAAACCAACCAACCCACCCTTGTACGCGGTGTGCCCCAGCGTGTGTTTGTCTTGGCTGTTCAGACTGTGCAAGGATTTATTATTTATGAGTTCACAAGGAAGTCGGGGAGGGGGAAATAAATTAAACTGCCAGCAAAAGAGAGATCTTGAACTTGGAGTGCCCGGCTTCCCTTTTTCTTTCTTTCTTTTTTTTTTTTTAATCTTGTTTTTAACCGTCTCTTCCTTGGGCTGTTCGGTGGTGGTGGCAGGTTCCCCACGCAGGAGTTGATGGCTGTGGCCGTGCCTGTGGAGGGAGGCGGTGGGAGGGAGGCCATCGCCCACCGCTCCGGCCAAGGGACCAGCACGTGTCCTCTTGGCACTGGAAGAGTCCTACGAGCAGGGGCTGGGCTCAGGCTTGCTCGGAGCCAGGGTGGACGCCGTGCCTTTGGCTTTCCCCGGGTCTGCAGTCGCCGTTTGAGCCCAGCTTGGGTTTGCTGGGACAAGCAAGCCCCGAATGGCCCGGTCCTTCTGGTGCCAGCAGATGAGGACATCTGGTCCAGACATCAGCATCTCCAAACGCACCCAATAAACCACCTTCTCTCTCCTGCGTAGCCCTGGGAAATCAGCACGGTCCCGGCTCCAAAGTCACCCGTCACTTGACCCTGCACTTCTGCCGAGCAGAGCCCCCGCGGTCCCCTTCTCCATCCCAGCCCTCTCCCCTGCGAGCCCCCAGCGCTTTCCCCGCTTCCTCGGCCCACCCCGAGCTACGCGGGGAGGCAAGTTTGCGGCTCATCTCCTTTGTCTGCGCCGATCCCGCGCGTCCCTGGGGGCAGGTTGCAGCTGTTCGCCGACTTGCTCCAAATTTCTTCATATAATCAATTGGCCTCGGCTGCAGCTCGGCTCAGCAGAGATGCGTCAAAGGGGAAATAATAAACATGGGGGAGGGAGCCGGGGAAGGAAGCGGGGAGACTTTGCACCGGGCTGCAGCATCGGGCTGCAGGGGCAATAGCGGCTGGTGGGGCACGGGAGGGGACCTTGGGGGACCTCGGCGCTCCCAGGGCCCCTTTTTGTCCCAGCTCAGGCATTTCTCCCCAGTGTTTGCCCCGTGGGATGCACCGTGTCGCCACTGCCTGCATCCAGACCCAGCTCGGCTCCCAACCCCTCCCGC